CCGAGGGCCGCGCCCTCCCTGCGCTGGAGGCTGGGCCCGCGCGCGGCCTCGCTCTCGAGGTTTCGGCGTTTGGCGAGCGGGCCTCGGTGGCGTTCCAGGAGCAGGGCTTCCCGTCCGGAGAGCGTGCAGCGTTAGGTCACCAGCATCTCGCTCATCTTCGGGGCGTCTTTGATGTGCAAGACGCCAAAGAAATGGCGGCCCCCGGAGCCCACCACAGTAATTTTTCCACCAGTTTGAGGTTAGGAACACTTTCAAATGCACGGAGGAATGGTAGTATTTTAGGGAAGACTTTACCATTAACTTTTTGGCATTTCTTTTTTAAAGACCCGAGCGAGAGAGGACTCAGGCTTACAACTGACTCTAGCTTCTACGGGATCCACGCACAAACACACACATATATACACGTAATTACAAATAAAAATATGTTGGTATTGTAGCACACGCCTTTAATCCCAGCATTTAAAAGGTAGAGTCAGGCAAATCTGTGAGTTCCAGGCTCCCAGAGCTACGTTATCCTGCTCTTAAAAAAAGTGTGTGTGTGTGTAAGCATACTTAATTTCTACAACACCAGTATCCATTCGCTGGTGTTTATTTTATTCTGGTCCATTTACAAGTACTGTACTTCACTTGTATTTTTCAGAACTTGCATGGGCTAGGCACGAGGGTGCATGCCTGTATTAGGAGGTAGAGGCAAGTTCTGCTAGATCTACCCAGTGAGGGCTGGGCCAGACCAGCTAGGGAAACACAGCAAGACCTTGACACAAAGCAGGAGAATGAGATGCCTTGGCGGGTGGCTAAAGGCCCTGGCTGCCATGCCTGCCCTGGGTTCCATCCGTGGGACCTAGATGGTGGAAGGAAAACATTGACTCTCCTGAAGTTGCCTCACTTCCACAGGGGTCTTATGACAAGCACACACAAACACACACTAAAAACGGAAAGGACACAAGACATGTCAGTGGGACACTTGCAGCACAAGCCTGGCGATCCGAACTGGATCCTTGGAACCTACTTGAAGGGAAAGAAAGAATACAAATTGTCTCTTGACCTGGTATGTCTCTTGAGTCCACACGTACACATGCACAATAATAAAAAAATAAAAAACATAACACAAACCCTGCTCATGCAGCCAATAACCATATATTAAACGTTTTTAAGTGCCCCATAGTATAATAAGCACACTCCAGGCTTTATCACACAGAATCATAAACTCTATAAAACCAATACTGTAACTGTACCAACTTTCTAGACACAGAGACAGGAGTTCAAAAGGCTTGGCAGTCAACAGGCAGCCTCTGGTGTAGTTTATTTTCTTTAATGTTTGTTTGTCTGTTTTTCTGAGACAGGGCTTCTCTGTGTAGCCCTGGCCATCCTGGAACTCACTTTGTACACCAGGCTGGCCTCAAACTCAGAGATCCGCCTGCTGTTGTCTCCTGAGTGCTGGGATTAAAGGCGTGCACCACAACTGCCCAGCTAAAAGTTTTAAAAATTATTTTATGTGTAGGTGCCTGAGTGTATGTATGTGCATTACATGTATGCAGGTCATGCCCCTGGAACTGTAGTTATATAGTATAGATGGTTGTGAGCCACCATATGGATGCTGGGACTCAAACCCAAGTCCTCTGGAAGAGCAGCCAGTGTTTTTTTTTTTTTTTTTTTTTTTTAAAGATTTATTAATTATGTATATAGTGTTCTGCCTGCATGTATGCCTGCAGGCTAGATCTCATTACAGATGGTTGTGAGCCACCATGTGGTTGCTGAGAATTGCACTCAGGACCTTTGGAAGAGCAGCCAGTGCTCTTAATCGCTGAGCCATCTCTCCAACCCAAAACAAAGATCATCTTTATTTATGTGTATAAGCCTTATGGTGGCATGAATGTATGTGCACCACATTTCTGGTGTCACAGAGGCCAGATGAGGGCATTGGATTCCCTGGAACTGGAGTTACAGATGGTTGTGAGCCACTGTGGTGCTGAGAATAGAACCCAGTTCTCTGCAAGAGCAACCAGTGCTCTTAACCACTGAGTATCTCTCCAGCTCCAGGACTGTATTCCAGGGAGGGTTTTTATAGGTCAAGACACAGCCCATTATAGTGGAGAAGTCAAAGTAGCAGGACCTTGGAGCATCTGATCACATTGCATCCACCTTCAGACAGAAGTTAGGGTTCAGGCTTATGCTCAGCTCACTTTCTCCTTTATAACAGTTCAGGACCCAGCCAGGGAATGGTGCCACTCACATTTCGTGGGCCTTCCTCAGTTTACCCAATCAACATAATTCCCTACAGACATGTCCAGAGGGTAGTCTCAGTCATTCTAGAGCTCATTAAATGGACAATTGAAATTAACCACACACCCATTGAAAAACTGGGATCCCCAGGTGGTGTGGTGACACATGATATTGATCCCAGCACTCAGGAGGCAGAGCCAGGCCGATCTCTGTGAGTTAGAGGCCAGCCTGGTCTACAGATTGAGTTCAAGGATAGTCAGAGCTACACAGAGAAGCCCTGTCCCAAAAAAAAAAAAAAAACTAAAACTTAAGAAAAGCTGGGATCAGGTGGTACTTGCTCAGATGGAAGGTACCTACTGCCAAGGGGGAAACTCAGTGTGTTAACTACGCAGAGCAAGGGGAGGAGGAGGCTAGTCTCAGAGGGGGTCTCTGTTGGGGGTGGCCTCAGGCTGTAAATATCCTGGAGGACGGAGGCCAACAAGAGGGCTTGCCCCTCCCCCAAGCCTTACCAGGGAAGGCTTTGTCAGCATGGGTCTGAGGCGTGTCCTTGATATGGCTGTGCTCATGTCAACATATACTCACTTGGGACTTTCTCTGCTCCCCACAACACAGAAATGTTCTGGGGGCTGGAGAGATAGCTCAGAGGTTAAGAACACTGGCTGTTCTTCCAGAGGTCCTGAGTTCAATTCCCAGCACCCACATGGTGGCTCACAACCATCTGTAATGAGATCTGGTGCCCTCTTCTGTATACATAATAAATAAATAAATCTTTAAAAAAAAAAAAAAGAAAGAAAGAAATGTTCTCTAGTCTTTGTTTTTTCATTTCTGTGATACTAGAGGTTGAAACCTGGGCCTGTGGTTTTTAAAATGTATTAATTGCATTTGGGCTTTTTCTGCTACAGAATTCATGTAAGCCAGGGTGGCCTCAAATTCACTATAGAGTTAAGGGTGATCTTTAACTTCGTCTGCTTTCCATGTTCTGGGACTTTGGGCATATTCACCATGCCTGGTTATTTATTTTGTTCCCCCTCCCCCAAAGATAGGGTTTCTCTCTGTAGTCTTGGCTCTCCTAGAACGTGATCTGTAGAGCAGGCTGGCTTTGAACTCACAGAGATCCACTTGCCTCTGCCTCCCGAGTGCTGGGATTAAAGGCATGCGCCACCACTGCCTGGATGTTTTGTTTTGTTTGTTTGTTTGTTTGTTTTTGAGGCTGGCCTGAAACTCCATTCTCTTGCCTCAGCTTTCTTTCTTTTTTCAAGATTCATTTTTTATGTATATAGGTATATGTGTACCATGTGCATGCCTAGTACTTGTAGAGGTCAGAAGAGGGTCCTCTGGGGTTCCAGATGGTTGTTAGCCACTATGTGGATGATGGGACTCAAACCCAGGTCCTCTCCAAGAGGCATGGAGCCATCTCTCTAGTTCCCTGCCTCAGCTTTCTTTTCTTTTTTATTGGTTATTTTTTTTGTTTGCTTTTTTAGAGATAGAGTCTTATGTGGTCATGTACCCTAGCTCTGTAGATGATGATCTTAAATTCCTTGATCCTCCTGCTGGGGTTACAGGTGAGTGCCACCATGCCCTGCTAGCACCTATGATTTTTAGAGGGTGGAAAGAGTTAGGAGCTTTGCCCTACCTGCTATTCTACAGTAATATCCTTCTATTGAAGTTTGGGAGCTTTCAAAGTCATTTGCTTTCTCAGTTGTTTTTAAATGGTAATGTTCTTATGATGGCCATTCTTGGTTGTCAACTTGACTACATCTGTAATTAACTAAAATTCAAAAATGGAGGGCACACCAGTGAGAGATTTTTTTTTTTTTTTTGCTTAATTTGAAGTAGGAGGATCCCAGCCCCTAATCTGGGCTGCATGTTCTACTGACAACCTATATAAGGACATGGAAGAAGGAAGCTTTTTTTTTTTTTTTTTTAAAGATTTATTTATTTATTATGTATACAGCATGCTTTGCCTGCAAGCCAGAAGAGGACGCCAGATCTCATTACAGATGGTTGTGAGCCACCATGTGGTTGCTGGGAATTGAACTCAGGACCTCTGGAAGAGCAGTCAGTGCTCTTAACCGCTGAGCCATCTCTCCAGCCCCAGAAGGAAGCTTTTGCTCTTTGCCTGCTTGCGATCAACTTGCTAGCAAATCCATTCCTTCATTGACAGTAGAGCCTGCTTTGTTGGGATTCCAGTGTCTACTGAAGACCAGCTGAGACATCCAGCTCCATGCACTCAGCAACTTCTGGGTTCTTAGACTTTCCGTTCATAGCCAGCCATTATTGCATTGTTGGATTAGTTGGACCATAGCCTGTCAATCATTCTAATAAGTTCCCA